GCAGAATCTTCATGTTTGGAAGACAGAGTTAAGATGAGACATATATTAATACCTGCTGAGACAATGACTTCTAAATCAAATTGAAGGAAACAGCAAAGCCTCTGGCTTCTTCTACATCATAATGTTAAATGAAATGCTGAATCTAGAACACATAAAAGCTGACTTATGCCTTCATGCCATATTCCATAGGTCTTACCCTTAACTTCTAGCAAATCCCTTAGAAATCACATGGATTAATAAGAGATCAGGCCCAGGAATGGACCATGAGGATTCTCTCAAAAGTGTCTTATTAGAATACAAATCTTCTATTCTTTAAAAAGTATTGACTAGGTTAATGTGTAAGGGTCTGATCTTATACAAAAAGAAGAGAACATCTAAGAAAGAAATGTGGCATTTTTTCTGGATGTATGGAAATTTGCTTAAGAAATGTTGCCAACTTTTTGGGGGAGTCATATGCTGAAGTCTATCGGTGGACATAGGTGCAAATGCCACTTCATTCACTATGTATCTATTTATGTATTCATCTCTTCCTATCTATCTTCCTTTGTCCTTTCAAGAATTTAATTGAAATGTTATGTATGATGGCATATTAGGTATTGTGACAGCTAAGCTTAATTGTCAACTTGATGAGCTTGGAGTTGCTTAGGAAATGAGAAAGCACATTCCTGGATGTGTCTGGAAGGATCATGAAGGAATGGCCTTGGAATCTATACCTAGTCCTTGGCCCCTTTCTTTCGGGCACTGTTCCCCTCCCTGTTCTGCTTCTGGCCACCATGAAATGAGCAGTATTCCTCCTCAAGTCCACCAAGTCCTCCACCATGATGTTCCTTTCTTTGACCTAGCTGGATGTAGACTGAATCCCCTGAAAACAAAAGCTAAATAAATCACTTTCTCCTTTATGTTGTGGGTAGCAGGTATTTGTTTCCAGCAACAGGAAAGCTGACAATTTCACAGAAAATTATTATTAGAGAAGTGGGGTCATTGCTGCGACTATATTTGACCAGATGGTTCAGTGGTGTTTGAAGTGGTTTGGGGAGGAGTTTGGAAATCTGGGTTAGAGAAACCCTAAAATGTTGTACAAGATAGATGTGTGATTCTACTCAGGGGTCAGAAGACCAGAATTGCAATAGAAACTTAGGCAGTAAAGGCCAGGCTCATGAAATTTCAGATGAGGACTATAATGGGAAATGAAAAGGGGCCTTAATGATACATTCTGACAAAGAACTTGTCAACGTCAACATTTTGAATCTTTGTCCATACCCTGAGACTTGCAGAATACTGAAAAGCTATGAACAAATTGATCTGGTGGAGAAAGTTTCAACTTCTGGACTG